GTCTCTTTGCACTGCTGATTGCTCTCCGGCAAAAGACAAACATTTGCATGTTTAATTGTGGGTGATGTGTGAGAGAACCATAGAGTGTGTGTACATCAGAGATGCCTCAATTGACATGTAATCTCTGGTGAACCTAACATTCGACAGACTGAATTTAACCCTATTACATCATTTTTTAACCTGAGCCTTGAAATTGAGTGTTGAATCAATCATGACTCCGAGGTATTGGATTGTGACACCACCTGTAGCCTCTCCCCTGATACAAACATATCTGGCTCAACACAAGAGGACTTTGTTTTGGTGAAGAAGATGCATACGGTTTTACAAATGTTTAGTTGCAAACAGCATTGTTCCAACCAAGCTGTTACATGAACCATGGTGTTTGTCAGTTCATTAGCCACTTGTGTCATATTGCTTCCATGTACATATATTACAGTGTCATCTGCGTACATTTGGATGTTTGTGTCAGGACATACAGATGGTAAATCATTTATATATAGCGAAAATAGTAATGGTCCCAGGATTGAACCTTGTGGGACCCCTGTCGAAAGACGAAGGTCAAAAGATTCATAATTTTGAACTCTCACATACTGAGATCGGTTAAACAAATAAGATGCTATCCATTTAAGTGTTTTTGATTTGTTCTATGAAAAAACAGTTGGCGGCCTCTGTTGACTATTTGGCCCTAAAGCCAAACTGCACTGGATGCAGAGAAAATGTACTAGTGTTTAAATGGTCAATGATTTGCTCAGACACAAGTTTCTCAGCAACCTTTGACGCTGTAGGAAGGATACTAATTGGACTCTAGTAACAGGAAGGTCTCCACTTTTAAAGATTTGGATCACTATAGCCAGCTTCCAAACACTTGGAATCATTCCCTGACAGAAGGAGAGGTTAATCATTTCGGCAATAGGATAAGAAAGTGTTGTGCTGAGATATTTTAGCCATGTCCATGCCAAATATATCCTTTGTTCTAAATGCTTTAAGAGATCCTATCACTTTTGTAACTTCAGATTCAGTGATATTTCTAATGCTGAAAGCCGGCTCAATTGTATTAACATAACAAAAATGTGTCAGGTGAGAAACACTGTGCAATGGTTGCAACAGAATCAATGAAGTAGTGGTTTAAAACTTCAGCTCTGTTAGCTGGATTGTTTATAAGCTTTCCATTTACTTCAAGCAGTTTTCATCCATCCATCCATCTTCTCCCGCTTATCCGTGGTCGGGTCGCGGGGGTAGCAGTTCCAGCAGAGAGCCCCAAACTTTATTTTCCCTGGCGACATCAACCAGCTCTGACTGGGGGATCCCAAGGCGCTCCCAGGCCAGCGAAGAGATATAATCCCTCCACCTGGTCCTAGGTCTACCCCTTGGTCTCTTCCCAGCTGGACGTTGCCTGGAACACCTCCCTAGGGAGGCGCCCAGGTGGCATCCTAACTAGGTGCCCGAACCACCTCAACTGGCTCCTTTCGAAGTGAAGGAGGAGCGGCTCAACTCCGAGTCCCTCCCGGATGACCGAACTGCTCACCTTATTCCTAAGGGAGACACCAGCCACCCTGCGGAGAAAGCCCATCTCGGCCGCTTGTATCCGCGATCTCGTTCTTTCGGTCATGACCCATCCTTCATGACCATAGGTGAGGGTAGGAACGGAAATGGCCCGGTAGACAGAGAGCTTTGCCTTCTGGCTCAGCTTCCTTTTCGTCACAACGGTGTGGTAAAGCGACTGCAGTACCGCTCCCGCTGCTCCGATTCTCCGGCCCATCTCACGCTCCATTGTTCCCTCACTTGAGAATAAGACCCCAAGATACTTGAACTCCTTCACTTGGGGTAAGGACTCATTCCCTACTTGGAGTGGACAGTCCACCGGTTTCCTGCTGAGAACCATGGCCTCAGATTTGGAGGTGCTGATCCTCATCCCAGCCGCTTCACACTCGGTTGCGAACCGATCCAGTGAGTGCTGAAGGTCGCAGACCGATGAAGCCATCAGAACCACATCATCTGCAAAAAGCAGTGGTGCAATCCTTAATCCACCGAACTGCAGACCCCCTCCCCCATGACTACGCCTCGAAATCCGATCCATGTATATTACAAACAGGATTGGTGACAAAGCGCAGCCCTGGCGGAGGCCAACCCTCCCCGGAAATGGGTCCGACTTACTGCCGAGGACCTGGACACAGCTCTCGCTTTGGGAGTACAGAGATTGGATGGCCCTGAGTAGAGACCCCCTCACCCCATACTCCCGCAGCACCTCCCACAGTAGCTCCCTGGGAACTCGGTCATACGCCTTCTCCAAGTCTACAAAACACATGTAGACCGGATAAGCGTACTCCCAGGCCCCCTCCAGGATCCTTGGGAGAGTAAAAAGCTGATCCGTCGTTCCACGACCAGGACGGAATCCGCATTGTTCCTCCTCAATCTGAGGTTCGACAATCGGCCTGACTCTCCTTTCGAGTACCTTAGAGTAAACTTTCCCGGGGAGGCTGAGTAGTGTGATGCCTCTGTAATTGGCACACACCCTCTGATCCTAGTGGTCCGATATTAGGAATTATGACGTCATCCCAATAAACCCGATACAAGTATTAATAGCCCCGATAATATAAAATATGTTTTTTGCGTAAAAAAAAAAAATAAATACTGCGGTGTGGGTGGATTGGGATGAGGGGCGCTTGTTTTTCACTCGGCTCCTCCCGTTTTGCCAGTACTGTGGTTTAGGAAGAGGGGAGTTTTTCACAAATCCAGCGCTCCCTAACTCGTGCCTGGCTGTGGCGTAAATGGTGTGCGGCGGTGAAGCCAGGACAGTAAACAAACATGTCGTTGGTGGTATGGGACTATTTCAAAGTTTCAGAGTTAGATAGTTCGCTTGCTATTTGTATTAACAAATGCAGAAGTTCCACGAGGAGGGAAAAAGGCAACGAGCTATAATACTTCAAACCTGATTAGTCACCTGTAACATCGCCATCGCTACGATGGTGTGTTAAAAGCGTACGAAGACGCCTGCGCTGCTAAACTAGCGGCAAATCCAAAGCCAGCTGCAAAGGCACCGGGGCTTTTACCTATCCACGAGGCTTTTGAAAAAGGCAAGAACTTTATTTGGGAAAATAAATATGGTCACTTTGAAGAGTCAAAACTGTTCTTGGCTTTGTTTTGTTCATAGTAGTAATGCTCATGTCATTTGCTCACTACTAGTCTTTTTTTTACCACCAGGTGTGCAAAAACTACAGGTACATTTAATATATATATATATATTATATTATTATCGGTTATCGGTATCGGTCTTGAGAAGCAGGAAGTTATCGGTATCGGTATCGGTTTCAAAAAACCAATATCGTGCATCCCTATCTGATCCCCCTTTTTAAAAAGGGGAACCACCACCCCGGTCTGCCACTCCTTCCACGCAACGTTGATGAGACGTGTCAACCATGACAGTTCCTCAACACCCAGAGCCTTCAGCATTTCTGTGCGGATCTCATCCACCCCCAGGGCTTTGCCACTGTGGAGTTGTTTGACGTCCTCAGTGACCTCCCCCCGGGAGATTGGTGTTGATCCCCCGTCATACTCCAGCTCTGCCTCTAACATAGAGGGCGGAGTTGTCGGGTTCAGGAGTTCCTCAAAGTGTTCCTTCCAACGCCCTAACACTCCATCAGTTGAGGTCAGCAGCGTCCCATCCTTACTGTACACAGCTTGAATGGTCCCCTGCTTCCCCCTCCTGAGGTGTCGGACAGTTTTCCAGAACAACTTTGGTGCCGCCCGAAAGTCCTTCTCCATGTCTTCTCCGAACTTCTCCCACACCCGCTGCTTTGCCTCGGCCACGGCTGAGGCTGCTGCCCTTCGGGCCTGTCGGTACCTTGCAACTGCCTCGGGACTCCCCCGGGATAACAAATCCCTGAAGGCCTCCTTCTTCAGTCGGACGGCTTCCCTGACCACCGGTGTCCACCAGGAGGTTCGAGGGTTACCGCCCCTTGAGGCACCTAGGACAGGATCAAGCAGTTTTCTTTCCCTATATGTATTTCCAGTGAATAGTTATGACTGTTTCCAGATTATTTTAGAATGCACCCTGCCTTGTCTATTATAGTCAAGAAGAAGTCTGCCTTAGCCTTCCGTAACTTCTTAATGACTTTGTTCCTCAGCACAGCAAAGTGATGCCTGTCATGGCCTGATGGATTTGTTTTCATTCATTAGTTTTAAAATATTCAAATGTATCCAAGGGACAGTGTTTTTCTTATTTTCTTGCTTGAATTTGCAATTGAAATCTCTGATAGTGCTCTCTAATGTTTTTGAGAACATTTGACTGTCTTCTTCGTGGTCTATTCCCAGAAAAAGATCATCCCATTTATGTGTTGAACAGCATTTATAAAGGTCTCATATTTGTTTTCGGGAATACCATAAGAATCATTTTTCCTGAATGAAGGGCTACATCGCCTCTTTGTTAGGTTCATGGCGACTAAAATCATATTGTGGTCAGAGAGACCAGTTAATATATTAAAATATTTAAAAATTCTCTCTGGTTTGTTACAAAAAATTAGATCAATTTGTGTCCTGGTGGAATTAGTGATTCTTGTAGGTCCATTGATCAGTAGCACAAGGTCAAAGTTATCGGTTTAAGATTCTTCTAGCAGATGTATCCTCCCAGTTGATGTTAAAATCGGCCATTATAATAACTTCTTTGTTTAAAATTACATTCTCTTAATAATTTCCTAAAATTCTCATAAAAAAGATTGTTTGAAGAAAGAGGCCGATAAATAGCTATTAAAATAAATGACATTTGTGGTGACAAAGTTATATTGACACCAACACATTCTAATTCATTGCCATTACAATTCATTTCATTGCAATGGATGCTATCCCGATTGGCTGGTACTACTGTGCTGTGATTGGCTGGTAATACTGTGCCAATCACAGCACAGTAGTACTGTGTCATGGGACGCTGCTGACCTGGTACTACTTAGTTATATGAGTTTACAGGTATTTTCTTAATGTAATTGGTGTCTTATTATTTGTATCAGGCACAACAGCTGGGAGCCAGAGGAGAACATGCTGGACCCCAGACTGCTGGCAGTGTTCCACAAGAGGTGTGTGTGTGTGTGTGTGTGTGTGTGTGTGTGTGTGTGTGTGTGTGTGTGTGTGTGTGTTTGTCTGGTACTGCTGTGATTGGCTGGTACTGCTGTGCTGTGATTGGCTGGTACTGCTGTGACATGACATTGAAATCGACAATGAACTCTATGGGCATAGATATGTCTCATAATTATTTGTGTGAACATAAAAATAATGTGTGTAAATATGTGATTTGTAAATGTAAAACACCACAAATGCATTTAAAAGATTTGCAAACTCACAAATAAATGTGCAAGTGTAAAACGGATTTGCAAATACGCTAAATATGTTCACAAATTAAAAAAAAGATCTGTGAATATCTCTTTAACATTTACAACTTTCGATCAGGCATTTGTGAATCCATTTTGTATTTGTCAACCAAAAATGCGCTTGCGGATCTCAAATCTCTGCTCGTGGATCTCAAATCTCTGCTCGTGGATCTCAAAACTCTGCTCGTGGATCTCAAATCTCTGCTCGTGGATCTCAAATCTCTGCTCGTGGATCTCAAATCTCTGCTCGTGGATCTCAAATCTCTGCTCGTGGATCTCAAATCTCTGCTCGTGGATCGTCTTTTTACACACACGGAATTTTGAGACATATTTTCCGCCAGTCTAAAATCTACTCGTGTCACTCGGTGATTTTCGGAAACCACGTGATGGCCCGCTGATGACGACATTTCCGCATGATTTCAAAGTAAGAGCATGATGGTTTGTTTAATGCTCTGTTTTTGTATTATAATGAACAGCGGAACGTTAGATGCATTCTTCATCACCATCACCATCATGTTATAGTGATACAGTTAGTTTGTGTTTATTGGTTCAATACAGCATATATCGAGCACTTTCGTTGATGTTGAAGTACAGGCTATACGCCACTTTCGGATCCCGGGGGGAGCAGCTGGCAGCGAAGCAGATAAAACTCTTTCTTCATTGTTTGTTGTGTATTCAGTCAAGCGGGTCGAAGTTACAATGTAAAGTCCTGTACTCTGCAGGTGCCGGTAAAGAGCAATACAATGACAAAACCTTTCCAAACAAAACAACTAGTAGGCAGGTAGATAGGTAGATAGGTAGGTAGATAGATAGATAGATGGATATCATATATAGATAGATATCATATATAGATACTTCATTCATCCCAAATTGTGAAATGTGTGGAAACAAGTATAAACACAATAACATTAAATACAAATGAAAGCAATAGACAGGAATATATGCATATATAGTAGAAAGGACACGATGAATATTATAACATTTAATGTAGCCTTACTATGAAGGCTGACCTAAATACGGTGCTTTTCTACAGATTACTTTATTACTGCACTGGTAAGGTAAAACTAGGCCGATTAATAAGATGTGAAGTGCTTTGTAACTTCGACCCGCTTGACTGAATACACAACAAACAATGAAGAAAGAGTTTTATCTGCTTCGCTGCCAGCTGCTCCCCCGGGACCCGGAAGTGGAGTATAGCCTGCACTTCAACATCAACGAAAGTGCTCGATATATGCTGTATTGATCCAATAAACTAACACAAACTAACTGTATCACTATAACATGGTGATGATGATGATGATGGTGATGAAGAATGCATCTAACGTTCCGCTGTTCATTATAATATAAAAACAGAGCATTAAACAAACCATCATGCTCTTACTTTGAAATCATGCGGAAATGTCGTCATCAGCAGGCCATCACGTGGTTTCCGAAAATCACCGAGTGACACGAGTAGATTTTAGACCGGCGGAAAATATGTCTCAAAATTCCGTGTGTGTAAAAAGACGATCCACGAGCAGAGATTTGAGATCCACGAGCAGAGATTTGAGATCCACGAGCAGAGATTTGAGATCCACGAGCAGAGATTTGAGATCCACGAGCGCATTTTTGGTTGACAAATACAAAATGGATTCACAAATGCCTGATCGAAAGTTGTAAATGTTAAAGAGATATTCACAGATCTTTTTTTTATTTGTGAACATATTTAGCGTATTTGCAGATCCGTTTTACACTTGCACATTTATTTGTGAGTTTGCAAGTCTTTTAAATGCATTTGTGGTGTTTTACATTTACAAATCACATATTTACACACATTATTTTTATGTTCACACAAATAATGAGACATATCTATGCCCATAGACCTCAGATGATCCAGACTCATTTGCATTGTTCTAATTGCTCTGAATATGTGCTGGTTTAGTTTCATGAAGCTAGAACTTAACTTGATTTCTATTAAAATAATAACTTTGTTTGTTCCAGGCTCCTCAATCCTTCTCACCTGAACTCACAACTGAGTCTTCATACAGGTAATCCTATAACATGACCAAACATTATTTTAAACACATCACAAATATATATTAATTTAATTGTGTTTGATTTCATGTCTTTCACCTTGAGGAATTGCATCCGATCTCTTTCCAACAGACAATAAAATAATGCCTCTGTGTAGGAAGGATTGTTTTCTTGTACCAGTCTAGATCCTCGCTGGACTAGACATTGTGTTAATTTAATAAAGGTGTGTGTACACACACATCCTGATGCATGTGGACACATCTTCAGTGATGTTCCTGTAATCATCAGGTGTTTCAGATCTTACATCAAACCCTCCTGCAGGTCAGACTCCAGCTGGATGAACACCTGTCAGTCAGAACACAGGCCAGTGAAGCTTGTTGTAGTAACTTGTCCCCTGCGTGTCTACAGGTTCAGGTGTCCTGGTCCAGGTGAGTTCCAGTGTGCTTCGACTGGCCTGGTGTTCGTCATGGCTCAGAAGGCGGAGCTTCTGTACAGGACGGTCCCTTGGGAGGAGAGCCTCCTCCAATCAGCTGGCAAGCAGGCAGCAGGGCCGCTGTTCGACGTGAAGAGTTCTGTTGAAGCTGCCGTCTGCCAGCTCCACCTGCCACACAGTGAGACAGAGGATGGTAAAGACATCTAGTGTTAACAAATACACTTATATAATGAGTAGCACCTTATACTCTCCACTACTGTTCAAAGGTTATGAATCAGCTTTATTAAACTAGTTTAATAAAGATAAGATCATTCAAACACCAAATCTGTTCTTTACATTCAAATTTAGTCGATGTGTTTCATGACATCATTGATCATCATTGAAGCAGACGATGCAATGCAGCTCTAAATACTGAGTTGGATTTTCTTTGCGCCCTCTGCAGTCTCCTCTCTGTAATATTAAAGAGTTTTAAACTGTGATTGGTCAGTCCACAGCATGCTCTGCTGCTAACAGTGCTAACTCAACGCTAACTCTCTGTTACTGTTGTGATGCTAAGCTAGCAGTTTGAATACTTCTTACTTTGATTTCCATCTGTTGCTCTTTCTGCTCTTCACATTGTCAGTCTGGCTGAACCATGAACAAAACAAAACAACAGACAACAACATTTATAAGTTAGACTTTCTACGCCCTGAAAGCTTTAGAAGACTCTTCACACATCTAGAGAATCACTCAGACATGAGACCGGACTCAGTCAAGCTGTTCTGGCTGCAGATTGCAAACATTTCAGTAAATGCTCACATCCAGAAAGATCACAGGGGGCAGATCAATAATTACACATTAGGATAAAAGGTGGAGGATATCAACTGGTACATCCTAGTGAGGCTCCAAAGTGAATTAGATGAACATTAGCTCTGAGCTAACGTGGTGGGACATTGAATATGATGAAGCTGTTTCAGCAGCAAAGCAACAGATGACCAGCTCTTTGCTCCACAGCGCTGCTCCTGGACGGCCTGTTGTCTGTCGTCCACATCACTGATGAAGGCCTGAGCATCTTGGAGCCGCTGGAGGTCACACCCACTCACGTGGTGGTGAAGGTGCTTCACCTCTCTCCGTTTGGCCTCATCATCGATACATTGAAAAGGCTTCTAAAGTGGCGGATAAATGGCCAAGTTCTGGTGTTCCTACGACCCCCGGGCCGAGAGGAGCAAATACTGGATGTATTTCTGCTGCACAACAACGTCCCTGAGGAGGAGGTAAAGTGCTCACCATCAGACTAAACACTGGTTTGAAACCATAGCTGTTTCCACAGAGAAGTTGTGGCCCCAAGCTCCCTACTGAATAGAATATAATATAATTGGAGGATTGCAACCCTCTTTAATGGTCACACATACATGCACACAGTGAAATGTGTTCTCTGCTTTTTACCCATCCTAGTCTAGCACTAGGAGCAGTGGGCAGCTATTGCACAGTGCCTGGGGAGCAACAGGAGTGGGGGGGTGGGGGGTGTCCAATGCCTTGCTCAAGGGCACCACAGCAGGGCAGGAGGTGAACTGGGACCTCTCCAAGTAGCAGTCCACACTTCATATTTAACATCTGTTCAGGGACTTGAACCAGCGGCCCTACAGCTCCCAGTCCAAGCCCCTGCTGTTTGAGCCACTGCCGGACACTGCTCCTCTTTTCAAACTTTCTTGGTTGTGAGAAGACTCAGATGTGCCACACTCTACTTTGGTTATCAAACTCGAAGTTTACCTTAATACTTTAAAATACGTCAAATTAATGTTAAGATGTTGTGGCCCCAAGCTCCCTACTGAGAGAGATAACATGATAACACAATTAGTCTCATAATCTGAAAATCTGAGTTTACTCTGTGAACATAGGCTGATTTACTTCACACACAAAACACATAACATGGTTCTTTATAAATGAAATAATCATGAACTGCTAAGAATATATAAACCACAGAATAACATAAGTATTATATCAATAATGTGATGATGAATGTATGAATGGCAGGTTACATAATTAACATCGACAGTAAATCAGATGGTTAGCAAATACTGAAAGGCACGGTTGAAACACTCAACAACTGAAAGATTGAGAGGAAGTATTTTGAGAGTCCAACCCTAATCGTTACCTTGGTTGCTGATTGGCTAATGGTTGCACAAGCCAAAACATCGTTATGACATCATAAATTGGCCACAATCTGATCAGCTCATTTTCAGACAGGTTTTTATAGAAATGGATCAAAAAGAGAGAGAATCTTTGTTCCTCAAACTTTCAGAGTCTCTTTCCACAGAGGGGACACATGTTGATGTAGAAGAGACATGAAGAAGAGGGGACACATGTTGATGTAGAAGAGACATGAAGAAGAGGGGACACATGTTGATGTAGAAGAGACATGGAGAAGAGGGGACACATGTTGATGTAGAAGAGACATGAAGAAGAGGGGACACATGTTGATGTAGAAGAGACATGAAGAAGAGGGGACACATGTTGATGTAGAAGAGACATGAAGAAGAGGGGACACATGTTGATGTAGAAGATACATGCAGAAGAGGGGACACATGTTGATGTAGAAGAGACATGAAGAAGAGGGGACACATGTTGATGTAGAAGAGACATGAAGAAGAGGGGACACATGTTGATGTAGAAGAAACATGAAGAAGAGGGGACACATGTTGATGTAGAAGAGACATGAAGAAGAGGGGACACATGTTGATGTAGAAGAGACATGAAGAAGAGGGGACACATGTTGATGTAGAAGAGACATGAAGAAGAGGGGGACACATGTTGATGTAGAAGAGACATGAAGAAGAGGGGGACACATGTTGATGTAGAAGAGACATGAAGAAGAGGGGACACATGTTGATGTAGAAGAAACATGAAGAAGAGGGGACACATGTTGATGTAGAAGAGACATGAAGAAGAGGGGACACATGTTGATGTAGAAGAGACATGAAGAAGAGGGGACACATGTTGATGTAGAAGAGACATGAAGAAGAGGGGACACATGTTGATGTAGAAGAGACATGAAGAAGAGGGGACACATGTTGATGTAGGAGAGACATGAAGAAGAGGGGACACATGTTGATGTAGAAGAGACATGAAGAAGAGGGGGACACATGTTGATGTAGAGGAGACATGAAGAAGAGGGGACACATGTTGATGTAGAAGAGACATGAAGAAGAGGGGACACATGTTGATGTAGAAGAGACATGAAGAAGAGGGGACACATGCTGATGTAGAAGAGACATGAAGAAGAGGGGACACATGTTGATGTAGAAGAGACATGAAGAAGAGGGGACACATGTTGATGTAGAAGAGACATGAAGAAGAGGGGACACATGTTGATGTAGAAGAGACATGAAGAAGAGGGGACACATGTTGATGTAGAAGAGACATGAAGAAGAGGGGACACATGTTACATTACATTGCATTTAGCTGACGCTTTTATCCAAAGCGACTTACAATAAGTACATTCGACCAGGAAGACACAACCTTGAAGAAAACAGAATCATATAAGTACATCAGGTTTCATAGAGCCAAAACATTTCAAGTGCTACTCAACTGGCTTTAGATAAGCCAGTCCTTTATTAGTATATAAGTGCTTCGTTAATAGTTCTATCGCTCGAAGTGGAGTCGAAAGAGATGAGTTTTCAGTCTGCGCCGGAAGATGTGTAAGCTATCTGCTGTCCTGATGTCAATGGGGAGCTCATTCCACCATTTTGGAGCCAGGATAGCAAACCCACGTGTTTTTGCTGATGGGAACTTGGGTCCCCCTCGCAGCGAGGGTGCAGCGAGTCGTTTGGTTGATGCAGAGCGTAGTGCACGCGCTGGGGTGTACGGTTTAACCATGTCCTGGATGTACGAAGGGCCAGATCCATTCGCAGCACGGTAAGCAAGTACCAGTGTCTTGAAGTGGATTCTAGCAGTTACCGGAAGGGAGCGGAGGAGCAGAGTGGTGTGGGAGAATTTAGGAAGGTTGAAGACCAAACGAGCCGCTACATTCTGGATGAGCTGCAGAGGTCGGATGGCACGTGCAGGTAGACCAGCCAGGAGGGAGTTGCAGTAGTCTAGGCGTGAGATGACGAGAGCCTGGACCAGAACCTGCGTCGCTTTCTGTGTCAGCTGGGGACGTATCTTCCTGATGTTGTAAAGCGTGTATCTGCAGCAACGGGTTGTAGCAGCTATGTTTGCAGTGAAGGACAGTTTGTTATCTAGGGTCACACCCAGATTCCTTGCAGTCTGAGTCGGGGAAACAACTGAGGTGCCGATGTTGATTGTTAGGTCAAGAGTGGGACAATCTTTTCCCGGAAGGAAGAGCAGCTCAGTCTTGTCAAGGTTGAGCTTGAGGTGGTGAGCAGACATCCACTGAGAGATGTCAGCTAGACAAGCAGAGATGCGTGCGACGACCTGGGTCTCTGAGCGGGGAAAGGACAGAATTAATTGGGTGTCGTCAGCGTAGCAGTGGTATGAAAAACCATGCGGGCTAATGACTGATCCGAGCGAGTTTGTGTACAGGGAGAAGAGGAGGGGACCAAGAACAGAGCCCTGAGGGACCCCTGTAGTTAATTGACAAAGGTCGGACTCAGACCCTCTCCAAGTAACCCTGTAGGTACGGTCTTTCAGATATGAGGTGAGGAGGGAAAGTGCAGAGCCTGAAACTCCAAGTTCTTGGAGAGTGTGAAGGAGGATCTGATGGTTCACCGTGTCGAATGCAGCAGACAGGTCCAGAAGACAGAGGAGAGGGAGGCTGCTTTAGCAGTGTGCAGTTCCTCAGTGACAGCAATGAGAGCAGTTTCTGTTGAGTGACCTGCCTTGAAACCAGACTGGTGCGGATCCAGAAGGTTGTTCTGATTGAGATAACAGGAGAGTTGTTTAAAGACAGCGCGTTCAAGTGATTTAGACAGGAACGGGAGGAGAGAGACAGGCCTGTAGTTTATAACATCAGACGGGTTGAGAGTGGGTTTCTTTAGGAGAGGGTTTACTCTTGCCTCCTTGAGACTGTTTGGAAAGTGACCAGAAGTTAGAGAAGTGTTGATGAAATGGGTGAGAAACGGTAGAATATCAGGAGCGATAGTCTGAAGGAGGTTTGAAGGGATAGGGTCCAGAGGACAGGTGGTAGGGCGGGCAGAGGTAATGAGGGTAAGAACCTCACTTGGAGAGAGAGGGGAAAAGGAGGTTAGTGTGTTGGTGGAAGGAGGGTCTGGTGACCCAGCGGTGAGTAAAGGTGAGTCAGAAAAAGAAGAGCGAATATCATCAACCTTTTTTTCAAAGTGGGTAACAAAGTCGCTTGACAGAAGTGAGGAGGGGGGAGGAGCTTTTGGAGGGTCCAAGAGGGTGGAGAAGATGGAAAATAGTTTTTACGGATTGGAATAGGAAGATTGGATCTTATCTTGAAAGAAAGTGCTTTTTGCCTGAGAGATCGAAGCAGAGAAAGAGGAGAGGAGAGCCTGATAGGTTAGGAGGTCGTCACAGTGTTTGGATTTCCACCGTTTCCGCTCTGCTGCCCTAAGGACGGTTGTATTAGCACGCAGTGCATCATTTAGCCAGGGAGCAGGAGGAGACTGACGAGCCTGCCGAGATGTGAGAGGACAGAGCGAGTCCAGACAGTATGAGAGAGTAGAGAGGAGAGTTTCTGCAGCAGAGTTTGGAGGCAGGAGTTGGAAACGAGTCAGAGGAAGGGAGGGCTGAGAGCACCGACGAGGCAAAGGTAGAGGGGGAGAGGGAACGAAGGTTACGGCGGACAAGTGCAGGATGAGAAGAGATTAGTTTGTTATGTTTGGAAAGGGATAGAGAGAATGAACTGAAGAAGTGATCGGATGTGTGGAGCGGGTTTACAGAGAGGTTAGAAGTAGCGCAGTTCCTTGAGAATATGAGATCAAGGACATTGCCAGCTTTATGAGTCATTGGGGACGGAGACAGTGAGAAAGCAAAGGCAGTTAACAGGGATGTTAGTTCGTCTATCTTCCCCGTCTGGAGGTTGAAGTCTCCGAGAAGTACAGCGGGAGGGCCAGTTTCAGGGATGTGTGAGAGGAGATTATCTAATTCCTCCAAGAAGTCCCCCAAGGCGCCTGGTGGACGGTAGAGAACAACAATGGTTAACTGTATAGGATGGGTTACTGTGACGGCATGGAATTCAAAGGTGGAAGGAGTGAAGTTAGGTAGCTTGAAGAGGGAAAAGCTCCATTTGGGAGAGAGCAGGAGACCAGTGCCACCTCCTCTGCCAGTTGGTCTGGGTGTATGGGAGAAGGAATATGCAGTGGAGAGAGCTGCTGGGGTGGATGTGTTGGATGGAGTAATCCAGGTCTCAGTGAGAGCAAGGAAATCCAGAGATTGCAGGGAGGCGTAGCCAGAGATGAAGTCAGCCTTAGGAACAGCTGACTGGCAATTCCACAGGCCACCTGAAACTAGATGTTGGATCTCAGTGGAGCATGTGGGATAGACGAGAGCAGGCCGGTTATATCGATTAGGAGATACACGGGGCCAGTGATAATTGCGAGAAGACACATGAACAGGAATGGAGAAAATACACATGATTATAGCATGAGGGGCTAGAAAACTAAAGAAAAGAGAAATAAGACACCAGCTCAATCAGAGTAGGATTTGCCTCCTCTTTGCCTCCCTCGTGACTCCCGTAGGACTCCAATGTCTTTGTCAGTCTTACTCCCGTAGGACTCCAATGTCTTTGTCAGTCTTCGGCTGTCTGACGCTTAAGCTGACGCTCCAGGAAAGAGCTACCTAAAATGGACGCCTGATTGCTGAGTTCTCACAGCTGTAGGGGCGTGCCCCTCTAATTAGTTAACTATCTACAGCTGATGGGCGACAATAGACTGGCCCTGCCTATATTATAATGCAGGCTTGAGAGCTGAGACCTGTGTAGCAGGTTTCGCCTGAGCAGATCTGAGATTTAAAATCTCTCAAAAGCGATTTAGCCGTTTTAGCTACAATAACTACAGAACAATTATACAGAGTAGAATAAATGAAACAGAGAAGTCTAATTAAACAAGAATATAACTTACAGTGGTTGCTGCGTCAATAGGAAATGTCGTCACCCGGTCCAGATGTACACTGAGTTCATCAGATTTTAAATGCGGTATTTAAATGCTTTTTTAGGTGAAAGATGACTGAGTCACGCGGTTGTACTTCATGTTGATGTAGAGGAGACATGAAGAAGAGGGGACACATGTTGATGTAGAAGAGACATGAAGAAGAGGGGACACATGTTGATGTAGAAGAGACATGAAGAAGAGGGGACACATGTTGATGTAGAAGAGACATGAAGAAGAGGGGACACATGTTGATGTAGAAGAGACATGAAGAAGAGGGGACACATGCTGATGTGGAAGAGACATGAAGACGAGGGGACACATGTTGATGTAGGAGAGACATGAAGAAGAGGGGACACATGTTGATGTAGAAGAGACATGAAGAAGAGAGGACACATGTTGATGTAGAAGAGAGATGAAAAAGTGGATTTTGCTCAATAGGTGACCTTCAAATCATTAACTGAAAATCACCATAACCAAGCGTATGGACCGCATTGTCTTACTGAACCGATGAGCGGTGGCTGCTGTGCAAAACCCTACATTCCTGAGACAACATTTTTCATGACAAACGTAGGAAATTATCTCGTAGCTTGAAAAATGACGAATAATTAAGCAATAATAATTAAACAAAGTGCCTCTTGAGGGCATGAAGTGACAAAAACGTTCAACATTCCTCCATTAAACCCCATTGTAATTTCAGGCTGATATCTCCTCACATCAGCAGCCGCACACCTTTAGTTAATCTGCCAAAAAGGCCACATTATTGACCCGAAAGTACACAAAAAGCACACTTCAGATACTCAACTTCCTTGAGATACTTCACGCTTTGAAATTTCACCGATATCTGTTACGGTTCTTTAACAAAATGTTCACATGTAACAGGTTTATCTCTCATTCAGAGCAATGAAAACCTTTGATCTCTGGACACCTCGTTAGCTCAAATAGAAACACCTGTGTAATGGAACACGATGATGTCATCGCTCCAATGACATGCTCAGAGCAGCAGACTTCAGATAAAGGTTAACGGCCATGCCCTCAACAGCTCTATGTCAAATATGGGGTGTCATCATATGCCGTTTCTATGGAAACGCATCCCTCGCCATAAAAGACGATGTCGCTATACATTAACTCCTATGAAAATGTTAAAAAAGTGCTCAAACTTCAGTCCAGCCGTGAAGACATCTACGGGACAGTTTTGAGATTTCTTCAAATGCCGTTGCCATGGCAACACAATGCTCGCCATGAAACATGGTTTTCTCATAACTTCAGTGAAAATGCTCCAAACCGCCCAAAACTTCACAGGTTTGGTAACGATGCAGCCATCAACGCATCTAAGCGTATTATGGGGTGTCATCAAATGCCGTTGCCATGGCGACAGACCACTCGCCATAAAACACGATGTCGATGTAAGTCCAATGGACACGGTCCAATCGTCCCCCAATCTTCACTTGTATATCACCGGTCCATGCCTCAACAGCTTTACGCCAAATCTGAGATCTCACCATATGCCATATCCATCCCTCGCCATAAAAGACGATGTCCCTATAACTCCTATGAAAATGTTCAAAAGTGCTCAAACTTCACATGTGTGCTAACAGTCCAGCCGTGAAGACATCTACGGGACAGTTTTGAGATTACTTCAAATGCTGTTGCCATGGCAACACAATGCTCGTCGCCATGTAACACGGTTTTCTCATAACTTCAGTGAAAATTCTCCAAACGGCCCAAAACTTCACAGGTTTGGTAACGATGCAGCCATCAACGCATCTAAGCGTATTATGGGATGTCATCAAATGCCGTTGGCATGGCGACAGAACATTTGCAACCAAGTTAGTTCAAAAGTTTGCAATTCAAATATTCTGCTGCTTTTCCAAGCCTTTTTACTTTATTTTCTTCTCTCATCACACATTCAAGCCCCCAGTGTTCATGTATCATTTCAATCTAAATTCTTCACTTTCTTCTTACACATTAGATTTCAGCATAGCAATTCAGCGTTAGCTTTTCAGCATAAAGCATTCCAACTAGCAATTTCTTCAGGAATTGCATTCTCTAGTTCCCCCTATTACTCGTTTTATGAAGGAGATGTCCGGTCACTAAGGCACATGGTGTGTGTGTGTGCTCTGCTCAGCTTTGCTCTGTGCGTGTGTGTTCGTATGTGCCCGACACCGGCCTTTGTTTTCAAATGACCATGAACATTAATTTACACACATCTGGCCAACTCCATAGGTATATGTGTGTGTTCCCAAGTGAAGAAGTTTGGTTAATCTTAATCTCGATGTAGTGCTCAGTCCTATCGGAGTGCACCGGAACAAACGACACTTTCAATAATATGGCGTAATAATCGGGCAGTTCAATGTGTGTAGAGGTGGGTGTGTGTGTGTGTGTGTGTGTGTGTGTGTAGAGGTGTGTGTGGTTAAAACTTAGCAGCGTCGATCTCTATTCAGCTGTTCTAATGAAGGTAAACACAGTGAAGGTGGTGCGTAAAAGGCACATCTCTCCTACTTGGCGAACCGGTAACTTTCTTGCATGAGATACATTCTTTATTTTTTTTCATGACCCTTTAGGGCGGGGGTGGTGAACTATTAGCGCCGGTGTTATGCCGTATTATGCATGCTCACTGCACCTCGCTGGAGCGTGCCACAGCGTAAAGTAAAAACTCAAAGACATATCAATTATTTGTACGGCAAAGTTAGGTTTGGAAACTATATAATTTCCTTTTTGGCGGGCATGCATAACACCGGAGCCTCGCTGCGGGGAAGCTTTGGTGCTGTTCTGAGTTTGTTCTAATCTGTCAAAATGACGGACTGTTTTCAGATTTTTCCGTCATTGTTAAAAAAAATCCGTCATAGGTGGAAAATATTCGGTTAATGCAACCTCTGCTTCCGAGTCACTTGCTTCAGCAGCTAGGCAAGAATCCTTCCTGGCATTCGGAAAACGAAGAGTGGAACAGGCTAGCAAGTGTGCAGGTGTGCGTCATATGAGAGGCCCCGCCTTACATTTTACGCCACAGATTTGGGGAAATTGGTCCGTGCGCAAAGCATTGTGGGGATTTTAAGGACGCAAAGTCTACCCATGTGCAGCCTCGAAATTACCCCCAAACCAAGGACGCGGCCTCGGTGGAATTCCAAGTATGCTGGACATTGGAACAGTCCTTCGGCGGCACTCGATGACGTAGCATCCTTGAAATATTGGCTTGGAAGCTAGTATCCTTGCGATTGAGAAACGGCCACAGTCAGACGAGACATATACCACGTGATGACACGTTAGGCTCGTGTTGTGTTCAAGGACCCTGACCTTGGCCAGGAAAAACAGGCACTCGCTTGTTTGATTATTTTGCTGTCTAGATTTCTTGAATTGTTTTCTATTTTGCGTGTGTTTATAAATTACCTCGAGGGCCGTACCAAATGGTCTCGCGGTCCGTATACGGCCTGGAGGTTCCCCACCCCTGCTTTAGGGGCTCCGTAAACAACCCTAATAAATATATAAAAACATGTGTTGGAGATTTGAAATTTCATCCAAAAATATCTAACCTATACACTTTAATTAATCTACTCACATATGTCCTCATGGTGTTATTCTTAATTTATTGTAATTATTATCTCTCTGTAGTGCAGGTCTGTCAACATATGTTGTTTTAAATTGATAAAATTGTCCTGTTACTGAAGGTTGTTAAAAAACACAAACGGGCTGTGAACATCCCAATCTCCTCCGACTGTGAGCTGGACATTGATCACAGTTACAGTGTGCACTGTGAACCTGAGGGCTTCTTCATTCAGCCTGAGGTGAGTCACTGATGCTCCTTTAAAGAAACACAATGATCATTAACACACATGTATCTGCATTTGGATCCACAATCAGGAAAGAAACAGATACACATTTCACTTCTGTTTCTGGTTTTCAGAGTAAAACTTTTAAATCCATGTTTGGACCAAACTACCATCCGACATTTCAAGTGTCCCTGATGACGAACACAGAGAGAGTGTTCTTGAAGGTCCAGAACCAAGGTGGAAATGAAGTCTGGAATTATCGCGTGTCACTGGAAGGTAAAGACTCCACCTGAGCTCAGACCCAGTGATAGACTGTTTAACTCTAAAGCTCCATCTCATAGCCTTCTCTATTAAGACTCCATGGCAGCGTATCATTACAACATTAAACACACAACCTGTTATATTCTAAAACTATAGTAAAAACTAGTGTGGTGGTGAAACAGCGGGGCATCATGGGAGTTGTAGTCTTCAGCTTCTCGTGGTTAAGTGGATACACCGCCATTACAGGAGACCGTGATGAACGTACTGTTACCTTGATTAAAATTACACGTCTCTCTGAACCATTTGGGATAATGTACGTACACAACTCAACACAACTCAACACAATATAAATAATACAGGTGTAAGAGTTTTTATACATTATGAGGAAATGCTACATATTATAACTTTAGGTGAACAGAAATCCACCTCTGGGAATGCTGAGTTATACTTTAATTGTTAAGAGATCTGTTTAATGTGATTGTTGGTTAACAAAAGTATTTTCCCTGTTTGTCTTCCAGATCCAAGGAAGGAATTGTCCCAGAGAAATGTCCCAGCAGAGAGCAGAGTCCCAGCAGAGAGCAGAGTCTCAGCAGAGAGCAGAGTCCCAGCAAAGGAGTGGCTGCTCTCAGTTCGGACAGAGTTCATTCAAAGAGTGTCTCTATCCGTCCTGAAGGACCTTCTGGATAAACTCTTTCAGTCTGAAGTGATCAATGAATCTGAAATGGAGTCAGCCAAAACCAAATCCCGAAATGACGGAGCACGAGAGGTGGTGGACGTGGTGCGAAATAAAGGAGCTGCAGCCAGCAGGGTTCTGATCAATGCTCTCCGTGAGCTGGACCCGCTTCTTTACGAAGAGCTCAACTCGAGCTGAGGCAAAACCTCGTGGAGTGTGTGAAAGCCCCTGCTAGTTTTGACAGTTGAAGTCCTGTCCTCTGTTTTGTTACCTGTACATTTCCCCCCTTGTCCTTGAAGGTATCACAGATTCTGAGCGAAGGCCACTTTCCTTCTCTCTTTTCTCCTGGACTCCCTCCTGAGAGCAGCTACCCGTATTGGCCTTCCTTTGGTATTATCTTGATATTTTTTCAAGTAGTTGTTCACTTTATTACATACAATCAGTGTTTCCCCTAGGTTTACTGCTTTGGGGGGTGCTGCCTGGCCGGGGGGGGGGGGGGGGGGGGGGGTCAGTCGTTGTCCGAGTCAAATCTACAGAAAATAAACAAGTCAGACACTGAAACATGCACATGAATTGGATAATAAAAGTCCACATTTTCAATGTGAAAAATGACCGTCGATAGATTACTTCAGTTATATATATATATATATTTTATATATAGAAAAAAAGAAAGGAAAAAAAACACCTTGAATTTCAGGGGGGGCGCGGGGCTCCGTTGTCTACCAAGACAATGGGGAAACACTGATACAATACTTTAATTTGACAGAATCCATTGCGTCCTTTCACATTTTTGTCAGGCAAACCACTGGACCTTCCTTTATGAGAGGAGAGGAGAAAATGCTGCCCCACAATGCATTGCAGCCGCAGCATTTACCGTCACACAACAGTCGGCCGTTCACGGAAACAACCGATTATGACCGAGAAATGATATCATGAAAGTTATGGTGCTTATTACGCATTGTAAAATGTATGTGGTAAGTTGCCAAAGTGCTTTGTTTTGAACATTCATCAGTATTATAATCAAAAAGAGAAATATGAACGTTAGTTTTTACTGAAATGATCAAATAAAGTCTTTGGGGTTTGTTCAACTTTTAAAAGATGTTTGAATGGTGATATACACAGTGATAGATGTTAAGGACTAACGTTTATAATAAATACATTTGTATTGATTTTAAGATATTTTCATCAATCATACGTATTGGGATCATTTGTATTAATGTGGACCGGAGGGAGAGGGTGATGAGCATCAGTTTCACTTTCCTTTTTTATTTCAATTCTAACTTTGGTCATGAAGAATATGTTTCTCTGTTGTCCACGTTCATAAAGCAAAGCAACAGCATCAGAGCACGGTGCAGAGTCTCTAGATGAGTTTACAGGAGTCCCTCGTTCTTATTGAACATCCATGTTGTAGTCCGCTGTATAGAGATCTGTAGTTTCCATAGTTTCCCCACAGCAGCAGACGCACATTCATGACGTCCGCTGGCGCATCATAAACACGTCGGATAGTGAAAGTGCATTCGGATTCTCTAAAGTACCGCAGTCTCTTCTCCTAAGTCCTTTTGAATTCTCCTATCCACTATCCCTTAACCCCGTGACGTTTCACTCAGAGGTCAAGGAATAGGAGATAGGGTTAGAACTTAGGAGCTGATTGTTGGACTATTCGACCGCAACCTTGGGCTATAAAGGAACTACAGCACGGTCACATGACTTCACGTCACCACCGCTAAGCTAAAGGAGGCTAATGTTGGGCTATAAAGGAACTACAGCACGGTCACATGACTTCACGTCACCACCGCTAAGCTAAAGGTGGCTAATGTTGGGCTATAAAGGAACTACAGCACGGTCACATGACTTCACGTCACCACCGCTAAGCTAAAGGCGGCTAATGTTGGGAGTGATGACATTTATTGCGTACATCCACTACAGCGCGGAGCGCGGTTTAAGGGTGCCACGCCTGGCCCGTTTTTGGTTGCGTTTTCACTTGGCGTGGTTCCGGTTAGCGGGTACTTTTTCAGTTTTCTGGCTCTCCAAAATCGAGGTTCTTTCCGGGCCAACAACCGGGCTGAGTATGCTAAACAAAATGAACATATTTTACCGTGATTTAATTGTAATACACGTTTCAAAATGATGCCGAAGTAACAACATACTGATACCGGTTTGTAAAAAAACATGAATTAATGCTTTGACAAGTCTGCAGACAGACGAAAAACTTTTTTAAATGCGTGTTTTCTGAATAGAGATTGGCTGGTTCCCAACCTACTAACTTGAATACAAATTCAAGTTAGTAGCTATTAATAATAATAATTTCAATTTCTATAGCGCTTTTCACGAAACCCAAGGACGCTTTACAATGGGAAAGTAACAACAACAACAACAAAAGTAATAACAATCATACAGATACATAGGCTGAAGAAAACAAAACAGGAACAGTTTGCTGGATACCGCATATTAGTTGAGGCCAAAGGCCTGAGTGAACAGATGGTGTTTGAGGTGTTTTTTGAAGGTGTCCAGAGAGTCTGCATTCCTGATTGCAGAGGGTAGAGGATTCTAGAGGGTGGGGGCTGCGACACTGAAGGCTCTGTTGCCAAATGTTTTCAGCTTGGAGCGCTGGATGGAGAGCAGCCCTTTGTCGGAGGACCACAGGTGACGAGAGGGGGTGTAGGGCTGAAGGAGATCAGAGATGTATGGAGGGGCTAGGGAGTGGAGAGATTTATTTATCTATTAAAGGCATAAAAAGACATAAATGTATAATTATTTCTTTAATAGAAATATTTCTTCTGCCGGTAAAGTGTCCAAACCAGGCTTTTCTGGATAAGCGCATTTTTAAAACATAGTCATTGTCCATGCCGGTTTCAGTTGGATTATTTGTCACAGTTGCTCCGATCAGATCGGTCTCCTCCATTTTGTAGATTATTTACGACTTTTGAATCCACATAAACACATCGGCAAAATCCGGCTTACTTTGAGCATGTGTTTTAAACAGTTTAATCCCTTTGTGAATTGTTTCCACTTCCGCCGTCCTTTCATTTCTTCATACAGCGGGAATCCAAATGAATTAATCCTGAGTCCAATAACCATCAAAGTCACTCCAATAGTGCTCCTTAATTACGCTTTCATCCTCCTTTAACAAAATACTTCACATTCATCCAGTTTATGACGGTAGTTGTAGCTTTTGAGACTTTTAAACTTTTTGTGTGTGTGTGTGTGTGTGGGGGGGGGGGGGGGGGGCGCAACTTCCAACAGGAGTCATTTGGGGGGGCTCTTGGGAAAAAAGGTTGGGAACCCCTGGGCTAAGCTAACGCAGTATATGCTCCGACCGTTCACAAGAACGGCCTATACAGACATAAATAAAGCAGCGACTGTATTCTCCATGACAGACAGTCTGTGGTTTGTACTTGTTTAACTTTTGTCTAGTTTCTGAACAGATATGAGGAGCTGTGAGCTCTGAGGGCTAACGGCTGATGTTGGTTGTGTGTTCTGCCCACACTGCGTTACTATAGATACTGCCCCAGTTCCTAAACTGTAATGGAAACGCAGCATAAAGTGAGCCTGGCCTAACAAGGCCTAACGAGGCCTAGCCATACCGTACTAAGCCGAGCGAGGCCCTGCAGTGGAAAAGCGCCATTAGTCATCTCATTTAGACACTTCTTAGCAACATGCTATTGATGCACATACTCTTCAATCCTTCATTGTGATGGATCCCCTGCTATAGATACAGTGTTGAACTTCCAACCCAGTCTCACAAAAAAACGTGTAATAACTACGTTGGTCCACAACTTGGGACGTAGTATTTCTACAAAAACGCCTCTGAAATTGTAAGATCCCTACGTCTTTTTTCACCATTCATTCCAATGGCTGGCGTCTATGTCACGTGAGCTTCAAATTTCTCCCTTCAGAAAAAAAAACATGGCCGAACTTCGTTTTATTCTCGGTGGAAAATGCCTATTTTAAGGTTAGTTTGGCCATTAAAATGCGTTTTGATGTCATTTGATGCGAGAAATGTGAGTTGTTATTTCAGAGTATGTGTGCAGTAGATGTACACAATCTTAAGCTTGCTAGTTATTACGAAGATTACTTCAGGAAATTGTGTCTATAAAACGTTTTCATTGTTACCAAGGTGGTTGCTAGTGTGGCGGCACGTGGGGGTGATTGTTGGAAATCCTATTCAACTAAAAGCCAGACAACGCCACCTTGGGAATGGCACCCAAGGAAATAATTATTCCAAGTACCAACAAGGCACTCAGGTTCGTGATACTGAGGGGTAGGAGACGTGGTTCCAATTTATCAAATGTTTTATTTCTGGCATTAAAATATCATTAAAAACACCATAAGATAATTATACACACTGGAAATGAAGAGGGGAACTCTTAATTCAGGGATGCTGAGGCTTACCAGTGGATGGAGGTGACGAGGGGTGAGAGGGATCCCAACAAAGTAAATTAAGGCACCCGTGATCACTACACACTCACACGAAGGAACACAAATCGGGGGTAGCACAGCACGACACACAAAGGGGGAAGCCGCCACCACCGGGGACACCAGCACCACACCTTTGGCTCTCAGCAACTAAGAAGGGCAAACAATAAACAATTACTGGGATAAACAGTAAAAACAAATTAATACACCGACCAACACATAAGATAAGTATAAGACAATAAAAAGTCAAGAATACTACAAAATACTGATTTCAAGTAACTGAAATAAACAAAACAAATTTAAAGCAACAGGGTCGAAAACTAAACCAAAGAAACGAAAATCAACCTAACAGTCTACTTAATCTTGAATTAAATAAACAAAACAAACTTAACTCAATGAAATAACTAATCATGAACAGAGATTAATCGAACAGTCCACGAGAACAATGTTTAAAATATGGCCCTGTAATGAAGAGCAAAGGCACAGTGATACCAAGACAGACAATGTAGGCCAAGAGCAACACCCGCCAGGCAGTAGTGGCGGTGAAGCACAGTAGGGCAGGCAAGCCGACTGTGCAGACAGACACAGCCGTGAGGGCAGACCAGCGGTCCAGGCAACAGTTAGGCAGGCAATACTATGGAGTCAGATTTGGGTCAATATTCTAGCGCATAAAACAAGCTACTCACGAGCGGAAAATGTGATTTTACACGCGCCTAAAATGACCCTCGCGCGCAGATTAAACCCCCGCGAGGAGAGAGAGCCCTCTTGCTCGCTCGCGGGAGTGTCAGCTTCACTCGCTCGCGGAGTCTGTCTACGCGCGCGTGAAAAGTTTCTGGCACTTTGGGGCGGAGCCACTGGACTTTGATTGACAGCTGCCAGGAAGCCCGGAGTTGCCAGGTTTGATAAATGCATGAACTACCAAGAGCCGAGGAGTGACAGCGGCAAGATCAGGTGGACGAGATTGAATGGTAAAGTTGTCCATAAAAAACTATTATATTCGTAAAGTGTACAACTAATATATATATATATATAAATCAATTTGATATAAAAAAATCACACATTAATT